CCTTCGCGATGCTTTCGGGAAAAAGGCGAAATGCTCCGGGGGAAGTGTTGTCCTTAGCTCGTGAGTTTCGCTGCTCAGTCTGCGAGGAGAAGCAACACATAGGCCCCAGGCACCTCGCTTCCCTCGAAGTGTTGCCCCCAAGTGGCATGCTATCTCAGCGGATGTAGGACATTTGAGGCATCCAGGTTCAGGTGAACATGTGCAGTTTCTCATGATTATCGACCGGGGCAGTCGATTCAGGCAAGCTCGCATCCTTACGAAGGGTAGTAAGCAACAACCGAGTGCGCAGATGTGTCTTCAGTATTTGGATGAAGGTTGGATTCACATCTTTGGAAAGCCAAGGGCCATGAGGCTCGATGCAGCAGGCTCCTTCCGGAGCCAAGCTGTTGTAGAGTACTGTGATAGGCATGGTATACACCTATAGACTTGATTCCAGCCGATGCCCAGTGGACCACGGGCATCTGCGAGCAGGCGGTCCAAGGAACCAAGATGCTCATGAGTAAACTTTCTGAGGAAGAGCCAAGCATAACTTCCGAGGAGGCCCTGCGCCACGCCATTCGGACCTTCAACGAGAGGGAGCAGATTCGGGGTTTCAGTCCGATACAGCACGCTTTTGGACGGAGCCCAGACGCTACAGGCCGCCTGGGCGGAGGGCCACAGGAGCTTCCCGATGAGCTACTCGTGGAAGCTTCCACAGCGGACTTTGAGAGGACTGTGGCTCGCCGGGCCTCCGCGGAGAAGGCCCTAGCAGACTGGCAGGCGGCACAGCGCTTGAGTCGAGCCGCCAACTCCCGCACGAGACCGGTTCCAGACTTTGAACCGGGTGAGCTTGTCTATTTGTGGAGGACGCAAGATGCGTCACAGGGACGGACGGCTCCAGGAAGCCGTCGTGGACGTTTTCTGGGGCCAGCTCGTGTCTTGGCCTTGGAGCGGAAGCCGGGACAAGACGGAGTCTCACGAGCTGGCAATGCTATCTGGCTTGTACGCGGCCGGCTCGCAGTACGAGGACATCTCCATGGAAGTGCCCGAGGACCAGGAATGGCATCGTGCACAAGATCAGAATGAGGAGGAGACTCCACCAAGGTTTCGAGTCCGAGCCAAGCGGCCCGCGCCTACAGAGACAGTGTAGGAGCCCGAGGACATCCAGACTGGGACGAGCCAACCCAGCCGAACGGGTCCCTTCGTGGACGAGAGGGCGCACAGCGCCTGGTGGCACGAGGTCAAGGACCAGGCTTGGCCCCAAGGCTGCCCCTACTGGCAGGAGGAGAACGCCGCGATCGCCATCGAGGTCCCGATGGCAGAGAGCAAGCGCGGTACCGCGCAGGCCTGGAGAACTTGGCATGCTACGTTTCGGGCGCCTTGAAGCGACGTGCGATCGAAGTGTCGGAAAAACGTCTGTCCGAGGCCGAGAAGGAGGAGTTCAAGAACGCCAAGGCAACGGAAGTTAAGAACTTCATAGGGGCCCAAGCGTTCGAGGCACTTCCGGATGAAATGAAGCCGTCAAGGGAGCAAGCAATCTCGATGCGATGGATCCTGATGTGGAAGCTTCGTGATGACGGGTCGACAAAGGCGAAAGCGAGGGCGGTGCTGCTGGGATATCAAGACCCTGGCTATGAACACCGCTCGACCATGCACAGCTCCCGTCATGACGCGGCAAACCCGTCAGTTGATGTTGCAAGTTGCTGCAAATAAAGACTGGCGCGTGTTCAAAGGAGATGTGTCTGGAGCGTTCCTTCAAGGCCGGACCTACCCGGACAAGCTGTACTGCATCCCCTGCAAAGAGATCTGCGAGGCTATGGGGATACCAGAAGGAAGCATCACGAGAGTACGCCGAGCTTGCTATGGTTTGGCGGATGCACCTTTGGAGTGGTATCGTACGGTAGCAGAATTCTTGGAGTCTTTGGGACTACAGCGGTTGTGGTCGGATGCCTGCTCGTGGGTCTGGCGGCCCAATGGTGTCTTACGAGGAATGATCGCAGGCCATGTTGACGACTTCTTGTTCGGAGGCCGAGAGGGCGATGCCGAGTGGCAAGAAATCCTCCGCCGAATAAAAGAGAAGTTCAAGTGGAGCGATTGGGAACACGGGCGGTTTGTACAGCGCGGGCTCGGAGGGTTTTACCCTGTCGCAGGCTCGCTACGTCAGTCAGCTGAGGGAAATCGGAGTGAGCCAAACCAGGCGGAAGGACCTGAAGGCTCCGACGACGGAACGTGAGCGAAGCCAGCTGAAAGCTCTCTTGGGGGCCTTGAGCTGGCACGCGCAGCAAATAGCTCCCCACGTAGCCTTTGCCGTAGGAATCCTGTTGTCTGAAGTCAATAACAGCTCTGTGCAAACCATCATTAGTGCTAACACCCTTCTGGAAAGTGTGAGAGCCCGTAAGGACCACTGCCTTCGTATCCACAAGTTCTCGGAACAAGAGGAGCTAGGAGTGTTTGGTTGGGTTGATGCTGCAAGCCAGAACAGGCCTGATGGAGGAAGCACCCAGGGGCTTATCATAGGACTGGCACCTGTGTCCCTGATGCAAGGAGAGCTGACTAAGGTCTCTATCGCCGGATGGAGTTCTCATCGAATCGATAGGTCTTGCAGGAGCCCAGGTGCTACAGAGACTCAGGCAGCGGTGAATGGAGAAGACTCCATTTACTACATGCGTTACCAGTGGAGTGAGATCGTGCACGATGTGGCCGACGCAAGAGACCCAGAGGGTTGTGTTCGGAGGGTGTTAGGATGCCTCATATCGGACTCTAGGAATGTGTATGACAAACTTCAAACAGAAGTTCTCAGCATAAAAGGGGCCGAGAAGCGGTCCAACCTGGAGCTCTTGAGTCTCAAGGAGGCACAGCAGCGGACTCAGCTCCAGATCCGATGGGTTCATTCTGAGGCCCAGTTGAGCAACCCTTTGACTAAGTTAGGCAACCAGAAGGAACTGGAGTTGTTCTACCGCATGGGCTGTGTTTGGCGGATCGTCGAAGACCCGCAGATGCGCTCAGCTCGTCGACGGAAGGCCGACGGTTTAGATCCTCTTGAGGCAAAACAACAACACCGGCAGCAGCCAGAGCAGTTACAGCAAAATCTGGACTTTGAATGAATGTTTTTCGAAAACAAGGGGATCGGGTGGGATGCAAGCATCAGAAGCATGCTTGTGTCATGTGCACACAGACAAGTTTGGAGTGACATGAGTTTGATGCTCGGGGCAGTAGCCGCCAGGGAAAAAGATCGGCCTTTGCAAGCGCCACTGAGCATCCGAGTGCCGTGCAGGTGCCTAGCACCTGCAAACCCTAAACCCAAAATTTGTTCGGAACAACAAAAAATTAGCAACAGTCAGACGTGTTCAGAAGAGGTGCTGGCCAGAAGCCCGGAAAGCCGGAACAAATCAACTAACAATGCAAGTAAAAGTCGGCTACCACTAGTCACTAAACTGTGTGTGTGCAATCTTTGTCCTGAGCTCACTTTGTTCTGATTGCTTTGTGTCTGTTTGCTGATCTTGCCACTTGTCTGACCTTTTTTCGGACTTTTTGACTTTGTTCTGTTCTCTTTCTGTCTCTCCATCTTTCTAAACATTTTGGGCCAAGGAAAAATGATTTTGTGCAGCCCCCTGGGCCCCTGGGCCTCTCCGGGCCCTAGTCAGGCTCCCCACGGGCCCTACAGGGCGTTCTTTGTGACAAAATGCCCTAAACCCTAAACCCTAAACCCTTCAAACCCTAAACCCTTCTAGGCTTTTTGGTCCTGGTTTATGTGCAACTTGGCTTTGAATCTCGTTTTGTTCAACTTGCAATTCCAATCCTGGGGCGTGTGGCCAGATTCCTGAGTTTTGCTGAGTTTTTGTTAGGTTTCGGGTCTAGGGTTTAGGGCTTAGTGTTTAGGGTTTGGGGTACTATACCTGGAGTGCGTAGGACAAGCTTGGAAGCGAGTCACTTATGGCTAATCGAGGTTCGTGCACACCGTATTACATTAGGCCGCGATGAGTCACAAACCAATTTACCCGCAACTGCCACACGGAAACGACAGATCGTGATATCCGAACACTACATCCTGCAAACTTCAACCAAAAGTGATCGCAAACAGAGAAACACTAAATCCTACCAAAGCTGCCCAAAGGCCCCCAAACCAGCCTCCCTGGGCATGTACAAAGGCGTCCCAGACATTCCGCAATCGCCAGGTTTCCTGCAGGGCGGCGCAAGTTCATTTCCTTATAAACCCTAAACCCTAAACCCAAAATCCTTAACCCTAAAACCTGAACCTCGAAGCTTTGGGACAAATTCAAATGATTTCAGGATAATTATCCCGAAACCCAAAACGATCATCGACCTGAACTAAACTCCAAACCCGTAGCCAAGAACCCTTAACCGAAGAACCTGAACCTGGAAGCTTTGAGACAAACTTCAATGTCTTCAGTGCTCAATATGGGGCTTTAGATGATTTCAGGATGAGAAAGCATGAGTTAAAGCCTGAACACTAATAGGTACAGGTTTGGGTGGCTTGCCCACTGTATACGGCGGAGGATGGCAGAGAAAGGGGGAAAAACCTGCTATAGACAGGCTTGCGCAGCTCATCGCCATAGTCTCGGACATTTTCAGGTGGGTAGTTACGTATTCCGGGAGCCTTATAGAAAATCTATATACCTTAGAAGCCTTCTAGAAGCCCTACACTGTATACCCTAAACTCCCCACCTGTAGATTCCTTTTTGACATATGTGCGATGCACTTCACACGGCCTTGTCGCAAGATCCTGCCTATTTCACGCCAAACCCGCAACCCCAAAGCCCTGAACCCCTAAACGCGTAAATCCTAACCCCTAAACCCGCAAAACCCCCTAAACCCCCGTAAACCCCCNNCCCCCCCCCCCCCCCCCTCGAAAAAACAAAACACCAAAGAAAAACGCAAAACCCCTAACACCTTCGACCCGAAACCCCCAAGAAAGCGGAGCCCGGCTTTGGGTCACAAGCGAGACCCAGGTCGATCACAGCCGCATAGCACCTTATTTAGGGTTTAGGGT